TCGCGCCGCTGCCTCCGCTCGAGTGGGCCCTCGTCTACGGCAGCAGCGAGGAGGAGGACGAGGAGGAGGAGGAGGAGGAGGAGGGCGAGGGCGAGGGCGGGGGAGAGGGCGGAGGGGAGAGGGCGGCGGAGCCGGCGGAGGAGGAGGCAGCGCCGTCCGGCCTGACTGCCGATGCGATCGGCGGCGCGGCGCGCGACGCGCGAGAGGGCGGCAGCGGCAGCGAGGGCGGCAGCTTTGTCTCTGCAGGTGGGTCCCCTGTCCCCTGTCCCCTGTCCCCCGTCTCCCTCTCACCTCTCACCTCTCACCTCTCACCTCTCACTCTCACCTCTCCTTCCTCGCGCGCTGCTGCTCGCGCCTCTCCCCCGACCCGTCTCCGTCCCGCCTCGGAACCTTCTCGGAACTTTCCTGCAGGCGAGTACTCGGACGGAGGCAGCGAGCCCTAGATGCAGACGACGGATCCGTCTACTCCATATCTCCCCGTATCTCCCCAGATATCGAGGCCCCAGATGCGGACGGCGGATGCGGCTACTCCCCAAGTATCGAAGGAGCGGCCGAGTCGGACCCGGGCTCGACCGGGGCTCGGCTGCACCCTCTGTACTCGCGGCCCCCGTACTCCCGCGGCGCTCTCTGAATCCGCTGCACGACGCCGCACTCCCGCGCCCTCGCTTCCCCCCACCTCACCGCCCTGCGCTTGCGCACGCAGGCCGAGAGTCCTCTGACGGCGGCGCGGACGGCACCGGCGGCTCGGCGGCTGGCGCGGGCGAGGGCGGCGGCGCGGGCGGGGAGGAGGAGGCTCCCTCGTGGCGCGGCCTCCTGCTCGGCGAGCGAGTCTGGTGCCAGGGCGGAGGCTCGAGCGGAGAGGGCGGCGGCGCTGGCGGCGCGTGGGTGCCGGCGCGGGTGCTCGCGCGGCGGGTGCTGAGGGGGGAGGAGGAGGTGCGGGTACGGAGGCTCGACGAGGCGGGAGGGGAGGAGTGGCTCTCTGTGGCAAGCGCCCGGCTGCGCAGCGCCGCGGAGCACACCGCGCTCGCGCGCTCCGACCCGGGCGGGTGAGGTAGGAGGGCGCAAGCCATGATGTTCGAAGCCGCGCGCTTACCAAAAGGCACAGGCACATGCATGCTGTATTGGTCCAAACCCATTTCCATTAGGATTAGCGGTGTGAGCCTGTCACGACAAGACGCGAGCGCTCTTGTAGAGTCTAGTCCTCTCTCCCGCCCGCGGGAGATATATCTTGTGATATCCGCGCGGCCGGCCGCGAACGCCGGGAACGCGAGAACGGAAATCGTCTCCGGACTCCGCGCGGAAACCGGAATCCGGAAAGGGACCGAAAACACGACAGTCGACAGACGACCACACTCGTCGCCTCGTGACGACCACGGCGCGACATTATGTGAATTATGGGTTAAGACAATGAGGAAAATTAAATATTCTTGCCTCCGACGCTAGAGACAGTCACCACACGGATACATACGTCCGTGGGAGTGCCCCCCTCCCCCACCTGCCCTGCTTACACAGGATAGCATGCCCCGAGAACGGCGACATTTGGCGGGGGCAACCAGGGAAGGAGGTTCGGTTTAGTCTTTCTTTGGTCCTCTCGGGGGAATGTTTCTCTCGGCGCCCATGGCCTTCTGAGGTTTCGTACTGATGACGTCCTTCTTGGCACTTCGGGCGTCGGTGTGTGCGTATCGGTTGTGTCTAATTCCCCCGGTAATGTGCTACGGGTATGGGTCGCCGGTTGAACGCTACCGCTAGACCATCATCTACTCAGCTTACTTCGGCCGTTGACCCCTCGATGGTCGAGTGGCTTCCGGATCGAGAATCGGCAGGTTGACCCTTATAATTTTTTCTACATCGAGCGGGCTCAATTTTGCTCTGATGCCTCCTACGGTTTTCGATCTCGGGCAGGCGCCCGGTGCGTCGGTCGTTTTTCGTCACGGGAGGTTAAGACAATGAGGAATGAGTCGGCGTGGTTTCGAATACCTATCAACAATCAACAGTGCTAGCTACTCTCCACAGAGCACAGTGGTCAGTGCTCTCATCGCACGATCGCACTGTGCCACTCACTGCACCTGCGCAATTCGACAGACACTCCCGAATACAATACGGGTACACTGCACAAATCAGCACTACCCTCCGCTAATCACAGTGGGAGTCAGTCCATCTGCGCTCTCTCACACACCGCCTAGCATAACACTCCACCCGTCAGCTCGATCCTCTTCCTCGTCTCGCCTCCTCGCGCTAGCCCGTCCCGCTGTCCAACGCCTCCGGCAAGATGTCCAATGCACCTCTACGAGCGTCTCTGCCGTCTGGACGTCTGAGACTGAGCCTGCCATCTCCGACGTCGGCGGCCCGTGGCGCAACATCAACGTTCGAGGCATTGAAGATCTCCTCACGTCCCTGATGCGCTCATCCACGTCAACGCGGCGAGGCTTCCCAACGGCCCAATCGCCGCGCCGCAAGGGGGCGCCCCCGCTGCCGCTCCCGCGCCCGCCGCGCCTGCCGCGCCCGCTCAAGCCGCCGCCCCGCGACGCTCAGCCCGGATTCAGCTCGCGGCGCGCCATGACCGAGCTCCACAACGAGCTCCTGTTCATTATCTCCCCTTCCTCTCTCTCCGCCCACTCGGCCGCGCTTTGACCCCTTCACTGGATCATCTTAGCGCGCAAGTCTTGCCAACAAGCAAGATCATCCTTCGCGAAGACGCAAGGTTGGACGCTTAGCCAGCCCGAGACGCCGGCGGGTAACCGGCATACCTACGCTCAGACACATTCACACTCTGCTGTTGTTGTCTACCGCATCCTCATTCATGAAGAGAAGAAGAGAGGACTGCGGAGACAATGGGGCGACAGAGGATGATGCGACAGGAGAGAGAACTACGAGAGTGGGTGGGACGACCGCGAGAGGTGGCATGAAGGTTGCTTGGTCACACCGCCATCACCGCGCCGACGTCTCCCAGTGAGATGATGGAGAGGAGAGGACGACATTGCTTCAGCAGCGTGCACCTCGATCCTGTACCGTGTTTGTTATGACCCCCCCCCCCCCCTCCCCCTGTGAATACACCAGCGAGGGAGAGCGAGACGATCGAGGGGTCCCGTACCATGCGGAATCGACCCAATCCCAGTGCAACAGTGCGCGACAACAGTCGGGCCCCGCGGGGAGCCAAACACACACCCTCTACTTACTTTTTACTTTGCCCCCCACCGCACACCTCACAGTGCTCGGAGCCACACACAGAGAACAGGGAGAACTTGGAGGGCTCTGACGTCAACGCGCAATGGACACAGCTCTAACTAATGAACAGGGAGAACTCGGAGGGCTCTGACGTCAACGCGCTCGACTTGAGGCGATCTACTCAGTTTGCAGCCAGCCGTTCTGGGGAAGCAGTTGGTTGCCCCACTTCGCCGGAGGAACTGACGAAGCCAGGCACACACCCTTCGAACCCGGATGCGGGTACTTTGTTTCTGCACCGTTGCAGGTCTTCCATGGGAGATTAGTCGCAGAGCACGTGCCAGACTTGCATTGGTAACCAAACTCGCAGACCGCGTTGGAACCGTCGCCGTACTTGGCCTTGTCCTCGTTCCACGTGCATTTGCTGTTAGAGTTGCAATCCGCCTCGTCCTTGCTAGAGCACGACTGCGAAGGCTCGCAGTAGTACTGCTGGCCAGTCCCATACCACACCGCGAAGTCTCCCTTTGGACCGCTTTGGTACAGCTTCTCAATTTGGCTGCCCGACAGGCGCTCGTCGTAGCAAATGTCTTTCGAGCTTACCGGCTCCTGGCAATTGCCCGCGCCGCACACCATGGCAACGTCGCCCTTGCCCTTTGAAATGGATTTCTCTTCCCAAAAGTGGTCGTAGTTCGGTGTCCCGGGGCTTTTTGCATCGTACCATTGCGAGAAAGACGCCGCCTGAGAGCCCTCGGTGTAGGCCTGGCCGAGGCGGTAGTCGTAGTCCGTCGTCGGCAAACCGGGAGATGTTGTGTACGCCAGCTTGAGCGACGGGAAGTTGGTCTGGAGCTTCTTAAATGTTGGGGTGACCTCTTCCATGTTTCCGCCCTCCAAGTCGATTGCAAGTCCAGCGATGTTGTGCGAGTTCACATTCAAATCCGGTCCGAATGCACCCTGTAGCTGCACTAGCCACTCAGCGCAGCAGACACTCAGCCACTTGTCGATCGACTGGGCGTTAGCAAAGAGGCGGTTGCCATCCTCCCAATGCTTTTGGTACGCGCCGGCGGCGTTGGCAACCACGGCGACCGTTGTAATGCCCTCCATGTTGTGAGGATTAGGCACCATACCACCGTTCATCAGTTCGGGGACCTGAAAGCCGGGGGCTTCCAGGTAGACAAACAGGGTCCCGTCGTCACCCGACGAAGTAGGTGAAGACGGACTTGATGGAGCCAGGCCTGGGCTTGACGGAGATGGCGCAACGCACTTGGGCGGAAAGCCTGCGCACACCTGGGACGTGCAGTCCCATTTGTGCCCGCAGGAGCATCCGTCCGCGAGAGGTGGCTTGCCGCAGGGACCAGTGACGTCCGTCACGGGCAGAGCGGTGGTTCACCCATCGAGTGATTTCTTTTTTTAGTTTCCCATAAGTAAGGTAGGTAGGTAGGTAGGTAGGTAGGGGCAGGGGGGAGGCCCCCTCCCCGCCTCAATCCCCCCCCCCCCCCCCCTCCTCACGCCCTCCCCTTCCTCTTCTTCCTCTCCGTCCCAGCTCTACTCATCCCGCAACCCCCCGGATCCTGCTGAACAAGTTCCTCTTGTAGCTCGATCGGTCACACCGCCATCGCCGTCGGGGAGAGGGGGGACGACACTGCCTCTGCAGCGTGCACCTCGATCCTGTACCGTGTTTGTTATGACCCCCCCCGATGAACACATCAGTGAGGGAGGGCGAGACGATCGAGGGGTCCCGTACCATGCGGAATCGACCCTATCAAGTGCTCAAGTGCTCACTGGAAAATGCGTGCCGCGAGCGAAAAAAAGCCGCACCGTCGCGACGATAGCCTTCGCCGATGCGCGGGTTGTCGCTAAGCAGCCTGCGGCTGCTGCTGGCGTTATTCAGCCTCGCGTCCGCCCATTGCCTGTGCGCCGCGACAGCGCGGAGGCCTTCCCTCCGCCGGGTGGCGGCGGCTCCCCTCGCCACGAGCGCTGCGGACGAGCAGGTCGAGGCGGAGGCGGAGGCTGACCGGTTGGTTGATGCGGCAGACCGCCTGCTGTCTGAGACGGTGGACGCGCTCCTGGGAGACACGATCGTGCTCCCTCCCGACGGGATCACCGTGCAGCCCGGCGTTATGCTCCCTCCGGACGGCTTTGAGTGGGCCACAGCGGCGGGCCAGAGCGCTGTCGAGCTGACGCAGGAGGTGATCGCGGACAAGGTGGTGGCGTTCGAGGAGGAGCTGGCGTGCTCGTCGGCGGAGCGCGCGCTCGCGCAGGACCTCGCCGCCTCGGAGGGCAGCACCACCGTCCTCGACACCGTCCTCAACATCTTCAACAACGTCGCCGGCGCGGGCGTGCTGACGCTGGCGTATGGCATGCGAGGCGTGGGGTGGGTGCCGGCGTTCGCGTCGGTGGTGTGCATCGGCGCGATCTCCGGGTACACCTTCTACCTCGTCGGCGCCGCGTGCGAGTCCGTCGGCGCCAACTCCTTCAAGGACCTCTGGGGCACCACCCTCGGGGAAGGCACAGCGTGGGTGGTCGGTGAGCAAACACGGGCCAAGCGTACACACGTGCCCCCTCTGCTGCCCTCCCCCCCCTCCCTCCAGGGCCATGCCCTCCTCTGCTGCCCTCCCCTCCCCCCCCTCACGCCCGCCGCCCGCACCCACACACCACCCCCTCCCTCCTCCTCGCCTCCCCCTCCCACACCCCCCTTCCCGCGCGGCCCACCCAGACGGCGCAATCGTGCTCATGTGCTTCCTGTCGACGCTCATCTACTCGACCATCATCGGCGACCTCCTCGCCTCCTGTGCTACTCCTATGATCATCCTCATCCTCACCCTCATTCTCATCCGGTACCTATAGGCGACCTCTTCGCCTCCCTCCTCTCCTCCGCCTTCCCCGCCGCAGCCCCCGCCGCCGGCCGCTTCCTGCGCAGCGGCGTCCTGCTGGCGCTCACCGCCACGGTGTTCACGCCCCTCGGCCAGCACGCCCCTCGGCCACGCCCCCGTGCCCAGCCGAGGGGCCTCTCGGCAACCCTCCTCGAGCCGTCTCTGAGCCGTCTCGGAACCTTCTCCGCGCTGTCTCCTCGTCTCTGAACCTTCTCTGCGCTGTCTCGCCGTCTCTGAACCTTCTCTGAACCTTCTCTGCGCTGTCTCCTCAACAGGTGCTCACGCCCCTCTGCCTGGTCAAAGACCTGTCCCGCCTCGCCTTCACCTCGACTGTCGGCACGGGCGCTGTCCTCGCCACCGCCGCCGTCGTCATCACTCGCGCACTCGACGGTGCGAGAGCCGAGACGGCGCAACCAGACGAACCGTCCGGAGACTATCGCCGAGATTCGCCGAGATTCGCCGAGATTCGCCGAGATTCGCCGAGATTCGCCGAGATTCGCCGAGATTCGCCGAGATTCGCCGATATTCGCCGAGATTCGCCGAGATTCGCCGAGATTCGCCGAGATTCGCCGAGGTGCAGACCGCACAGAGAAGCTCTCTCGCTCCTGTGCCACAGCACGAGACGCCTCCGCTCCCTCATGTCTCCCCATATCTCCCCAGATCTCCCCAGATCTCCCCAGATCTCCCCAGATCTCCCCCCCCGGCAGGGTCGTACGCGCCTGGCAGCGGCTCGGCGCTGCTCGCCTCCTTGCCTGACGACCTCGCGCCTTGCTTCAAGGGCGCAAGCGCGTGGAAGGTGGGGGGTAGACGGAGAGGCGGAAACAGCACGGTCTGGCCAGTGACTTGGACAGCGGGCAGTACGGGTGGGGAGATGTGGGGAGATATGACGGAGATATGACCTGGTCACCAGGCGGTGTACGGGTGGGGTGCAAGCGAGGCGGAGAGACGGCCGCACTGGAGAGACAGACACACACACACAGAGAGAGAAGACACTCGTCATCCAGCTGGCCTTCTTGTGGAAGGTGGATGCGGCCGCGGCGACGCTCTTCTCCAACCTGGGCCTCTCCTTCCGCGCGCACTACAACGTGCCCTCCTTCTACGCGTCGCTGCGCGAGCGGTCGAAGCGACGGTGGGCAAAGTGCTGCGTCTACGCCTTCGGGCTGCTCACGGCGCTGTACGCGACGATGATGGGCACCGGGTAGCACGCGCGCTCTCCGGCGAGGCGGGAGCTGTGAACAGCGTCTCTTCACACCTCCTGCTGTGAACAGGTACGCGCTCTTCGGCGAGGCAGCCTCCTCCAACCTGCTCAACAACTTCGCGCCCACGGACAAGCTCGCCGTCGGCGCGCGCGCTGCCACCGGCGTCTCGACCCCCGTCGGCCAACCGCTGTGAGTAGCGTCTCTTCACACCTCCTCGTGTGAGTAGGCGTCTCGATCCTCGTCGGCTACCCGCTCGCCTTCAAGGGGCTGTATGACGCGTTGCGCGGCCTCTGCATCTCCCTCGCCCCCTCGCTGCCGCGCCGGCTCGCGCGCGTCGCCCGCGCAGTCTCCTCCGAGGCGAGAGATGGCAAAGAGAGATGCACACACACCACTCACACACCACACCCCGGCAAACCGCAATCCATGGTCGGGAGATCCATAACGCCCGATCCTCCTCCCCCCCCCCTCCCCCTCCCCCCCTCCAGGCCAACCACGCGCCTCTCGTCCTCTCGCTTCTCGGCGCCGCCACCGCTCTCGCGCTCACCCTCACCGACATCGCCGTGCCGGTCGGTATCTCTGGAGCCCTCCTCGGCGCCGCCGTCGCCTACACCTTCCGATGCATGTCCAGGACACGTCCACGACATGTCCGAGACACGTCCCGTAGGCGCCGCCGTCATCTACATCTTCCCCGCCCTGATCGACGGCGCCGCCCGCCGCCCGAGGCCGCGCCGCGTGTGGGCGACGAGACAGGGGCTGCTCCTCCTCCCGCTCGGGGGCTTCCTCGGCTTGTTGGGCACCTACGTCACTCTCCGCTGACTCGCGCAGTTGCGGGCGCGCGCCGCGCGCGCGGCGGGAGGAGGTCCCCCCGCTCAACACCCCGGACTTCGGCGCTCCACATGTGTTAATTTTCTACATAGTAAATGAAACAAATTTGCACGCCACATGCCGGCACGCCCCATAAATCGATATAAAACAACGAACACACGAATAAATAATAGTGCCACAAACACGAAACAGCGCCCGTGCCCCGTCCCGCGTTGCCGCACCGCACATCGCGCGCGGTGTCAGCACAGCGTCGGGCGCGCTAGTACACAATGCACAAAACGGCCACGCTGTCGACACACTGACTCCACGACATCCCCCAGTGTGCGCTCCCGACATGCCTTGAGCCGAGAGTCGACCTCGATACCAGAGATTCCCCGCCTGTCATATCCCGCTCCCCCCCCCCAACCAGCACGTCCGTCCGTCCCCCTCTGTGTGCGTGGTGCGGCGTCACTCCTGCGGCGCGTGTGCCACCGCAGTCCCCTGGTCAGGCCACCCTCTGCCCTCTGCCCCCCTCTCCGCACCCTCGCCGGGGCTTCCTGCCCGCCGGCCCGTGCCACACCCCCCGTCAGGGGTCCGACTCGTCGGCGAGGAAGGCGTCCACCTGCCGAGGAGGAGGGGAGGGGAGGGGGGAGGGGGGGAGGGGGGGGGGGGGGGGTCATTAAGACCGTGAAGGGAGGGGAAGCGGGGGAAAGGGGGAAAGGGAAAGGGAGGAAAAAGGGAAAAAGGGAAAAAGGGGGGGAAGGGGGAGGCAGACAGCAGTCCGCCTCGGAGGCAAAGTCGTAGCCTGCGCCGGGCTTCATGATGGGCAGCGTGCCGTACAGCGCCACCTGCAGCCGGATCGTCCACTCGCGCTTCAGGTTGTACCACCACGAGTCCGCCCGCAGCTGCTGCGTCTTGCCGAGCGTGTGGGATGAGCCGAGGATCGTCCGCACGCGCGGGATGCGCAGCGCTTGGTACGAGGCTGCTGCGGCACTCAGGCTGGCGTCGGAAGGGTCGAAGGCGGCGGCGCCGACGCGGCAGTGGTGCTTGAGCAGCCTCGCCAACACCCCGACGTCTTCCATCGCCATCATCGCCCCCTGCCCGATGTAGGGCACCGGCGGGTGCGCAGCGTCTCCGAGCAGGATCACGCGCCCGGACGGCGTCGCCCACGCGTCGAGCGGCTCCCGCGCAAAGAGGCCGACCCGGATCACGTTCTCGGCGGAGCGGAGCGGCTCGACGAAGGACGCGTCCCACCCGTCCCCCTCCAGCTTGGCGGCCAGCTCGGAGCACTGCCGCAGCCCCTCATCGGCGGACAGGGCGCCCCACGCGTCGTCCGGCGTGTCTGCGGGGAAGTAGAGCTGGAAGATCTGCTCCCCGTCGCCGGTGGGGTAGTAGCAGGCGTGGTTCTTGGTCGTCGACGAGGAGGGGAAGCAGATCCCTCGCACCTTTGACGGCACCTTGGCCGCCCCCATCAGGCAAGTCACGCCCGTGAACTCTGCGCTGAGCGGCCCGACGACGGCCTCGCGCACCTTCGACTTGAGGCCGTCGGCGCCGATGACGAGGCGGGCGGTGCGGGTCGCCCCGCTGGCGAAGGCCACGTCGACCAGCCCGTCCTCCCGCGTCGTCACGCTCTCGGTGCGAGCCTTGAATGTGATTTGGACGCCGGCCGCCACGGCGGCGTCGTACAGCGCCTTTTGCAGCTTCCAGCGGCGAATGCCGATGCTCTGGAGGTCGTCCTCGTCGGTGAGCGCGCTCTCGCGCGCGCACGCAACCTCCGTCCCGTCGTGCCGCAGCCACCGCCGGTAGATGTAGTCGTAGCCCGCCTCACGCACGGCCGCGAGCAGCTCCGGAGAGATGTCGCGCAGCACGCGGAGCCCGTTGGCGTAGAGGCCGACGGCGCCGCCCGCGTTGTCAGTGAAGGCGGTCGCCTGCGGACGGGGCAAAGGCGGGGTGAGGGCCCCGAAGCCTCGCTCTGTGGGCTGGGTGGGCTTGCAAGGCGGGCTCGAGATTGCGGCGGCGGCGCCGCGCCTGCTCGTACACCTCGATGGAGGAGCCGTCGATGCCGCAGTGCTTCTGTAGCGCGAGCGCAAGCGTCAGGCCGCCGATGCCGGCGCCGGCGATGAGCACCGTGGCTGGTGTTTCCATATATCAAAGATAAGGCGCGTCGGCCGAGTCCCACGGCGCTTCGCACCGGGAGCTTGTCGAAGGGGGGGACGAGGCGCCAAGAGATGCAACGGCTCGCCACCGGCGGGGCGGGGCGGTCGCCGCAACTTTCACGCGCGACCTTTATCATCGTTGACCGCAGCGCCCATGTCGAAACGTGGGCTGGATGCGAGACTCCTTGCCCATGTGCCCGAATGCTGCGCTGCGGTGCACCGTCCTCCCATCCCTCGCTTCGCTGTCTGCTTTCTTTTAGCTTTCTTTCTTTCTCGCCCTAAAATTCTTTCTTTCTTTCTTTCTGCGGCGCTGTGTCGGCTGAGGTGGTTTCAGAGGATGTAAAGTGTAGAGCGAGGAGGGTGCGCGGCGAACCAGTTTAGACCAGTTTAGACCACTGCTAAAACACGTAACCAGATTAGTCCTGTTTACGATAAACTGGGTCTAATGTAAACCTGGTGTTTCTAATGGGTCCTCCCCCCCCCCCCCCCCCCCCGCGCGGCAGCGCGCACCTTTCCTGGAATACCCTCGGACCGACCCAGGTGGCCGGCCGGGTAAAACCCGGGTATACCCGATAATTCTCAGGTATCCCCGAAAAATACCCGAAGCGGAGCATGAGGAGCCACTCGTGACCTTTGAGGACGCGGGGGACGTGCTGGGCATGGTGGAGGCGCCGCTGCTCGTGCCGGACGGGTTCAAGGTTGTCGCGGCCTCGCCGACGGAGGAGCAGCTCGACCCGACCAACCCGGCCAGCGACGCGCTCATCGAGCAGCGCATCATGGTCCGCTTCGAGCACTACGGCTGGTGCGTGGGCACGGTTACGGCCAAGGTGAACGACGGCCGGCGCACGATCGAGCGTGACCGCGTCAACTTCGTCGCCAAGTTCGACGTTGACAACGGCGCGGCGACGGACCTCTCGCTCGAGTCGTCGATGTACGACGGCTCGCCGTCGGCAGAGTACGAGTCGTGGCTGCTGTTCGAGCCTGTTCTGGCGCCGACGGAGGCGGCGGCCCTGGCAGCGGCGGCCGGCGGCGCAATCGTCGCCGTGTGAACACAGCGCCATAGGAGGTATTTTCTTCTCAATAACAAGGCTGTGAAGAGGTCGGACCGGCTGGGGCCGGGCGGTGGGCGGTGGGCTGCCTTGGCGCTTGGGGGGATGGGCTGTGGCACGGTCCGAGTCGTAGGGCCGGTGCCGCCTGGATGCCGTTCTGATCATTCCTGCGACCTTTGTAGGGATCCTAGTCTTCCGTCCGAGGTCGGGCTGAGGGAGGACTGATGAGCCGCGTCACTGTCCCTGTGCCTGCGTCTCGCGCCTTGGTTGCGGGGGGGGAGCGGAAAGGAGGAACCTCTTCCCAAGAGCACCACTCTTGGAGCGCCGCCACTACCACCCAGAGCGCTGCAAGCAGCGCCGGGCAATGACGGCTTACCGCCCTCTGTCTGCTGCTAGTGTTCTGGCGGGCCCAGCGGCCGGTGTTCTGAACGTTCTGAGAACGCATTCCGAGCCTTGCCATTCTGATCATTCCCCTTACCTTGCCAACTCAGGCGCAGAGACCGGTACTCGAGTAGGAGCGGAACCCTAAGGTAGTGGCCGAACGTCAGCGTCATGGAGGCTAGGCCCTCTGAGTGGGTGGGCGACGAGCACATCGCCGACGTTCAGCCACACTCGCAGGAGTACTGCGCAATTTCCTCATTGCTGTCGAGGGGCCTCCCCAACCTGCGGATCAATCGAATCGAGCGCGTCCAGAAACCGGAGCAGTGGGAGAAGTATATCGACAGGGTGAAGGTCATGAACAAGTACCATGACGGCGCCAACGAGACCCTGCTGCTCCACGGCACCGGCGAGCACCCGCCCCACGATGTCCTCAAGCACGGGGATGGACTGGACCCGCGATTCAGCACCGGCAAAGGGTTTTACGGCCGTGGAACGTACCTGGCCGAGTCACCCGCGTACCCTATTGCCGGCCGCTACGTGCATCACACGAAAGGGAAGCTGCAGCTGGTGGTAGTGAGGGCTGCCCTCGGCGTGTCCCAAAACCTGGGCTTTCGCGTGGATGACGACACCCGCGAAATGACCATGCCTGGCCAGCAGCCTAACAACCGCGACCGCCATTACGACTCGGTCCGTGCGGGGCCGCACCGCCCGTACCTGTCCGGGCCTGGCTCGGGCAGCATCGGTGGCGACGACCCGGATTCGTCTATCATCCACGTTGTCTACCAAAACAACCAAATGTACCCCGCCTACATCGTCACGTTCGACATGGGCGGCGGTGATTTGGGCGACGGCCGCTCGCACAAGCGTGCGAAGAACATGAGCGGCAACGGCGGCGGCGTCGGCGGAGGCGCCGGCCGCAGAGGCGGCGGCGGCGGCGGCGGCGGCGGCGGTGGCATGTTTTCGGCCACGGCGGCGGCCCCAGCAGTGGCCCCAGCGGTGGCCAACTCATCCGCCAATAGCAGCAGTTGCAGTGGCGGCGGCCCCCGCGCATTCGCAGTGGGCGAGCGCGTGACGTACCTCAACGCGGAGAAGCAGCCCGTCCGCCAGGCCATCGTCACGCACGCTGACGTGTCAGCGGGCTGCTACACGATCGAGTACGAAAAGAACACAACTGCCGCTCGGCTGCATTACCCCCCTGACGATGACGACGACCGCGGCGTCGTCGGCCGTGGCGGGGTGGTGCCGCGGCTGGGGCGCGCGCTGCGCAAGGGCGACGACGTGTTTTACGAGGAGAGCAAATCTGGCGCACGGCTTCCGGCGGTCATCATCATGGTCGAGAGCCCCACTACCAACGATGAGGGGGGCCGGCCGGCCTATGTCGTCGCGGTCCGCCAGACGACGGGCGCGATCCGCCTCCTAGGTACCTCCTAGGGGGCCTAGGCGCCTGCCGGGCAAACATGGAGACGGCAAGCCTGCCGCTCCTTTCCTTAAAGTTCCTGTCACCTGTGGCGGTGGCGGGCCGCTATACCTCCCATTCCCATGTCCCATGCATCTCTCTCTGTACGTTGTAACCATAATCCCATGTTCCTTCGAGAGAGGATTTGTTTTATTTTTTCTTCTTCTTCTGTGCTCTGAGGAGAGGGAGAGAGATTTCTACAAAGAAAGAAGAAGCCAAGGCGACAGGGATGGGAGGACGGCACGCCGCCACCACACAGGGATTTCAAGGAGAGGAGTGTTGTGGTGCTATACAGTCGCCCACCCGATTCATAAATTTCTTCTTTTCTCGGAGATCTCGGCGCCCCCCGCAAGTTCGGGGGGGCACGGATCAATTCCTGGTGCTAGCGCAAGGCAGGAACATTGGTTGTCGCAACCATCTCCTGTGTGCCCGCCTTTCTCAGGACACAGATGGTTCCAGCGTACGACTGTGGGGCTGGCGCCGACGACGCCGGCGGCTCGCCGCTCGCAGCGCAGCGGTGGTGGCTTGACTTCTGCCGAAAGTGCCCCGTCGGGCGCGGCCACGAGCCAAAGCTTGGCGGCGAGCTGTTCCCGTGGGCCCATGCTCGCGAGCCCGTCCACGGCTGCATCCAGGCGACGCTCTTGTTCGAGACGCTCGTCGTCTGGGGGCACGGCCAGCTGGTGGGGCGGTGGGGAGGGCCCCGGCACCCGTCCCTCCCCGACGGGGACGGCGCAGCGCCCACACTCGAGGAGGTGGGGGAGGTGTGGAATCGGACGCCGCAGCGGCAGCTGAGGGAGAAGCTGAGGTGGGCGCACGAACATCTCTCTGGCGCGCGACCATTTGCAGACCGCCGCAACCCGATCCTCCACTTTGTGCGCACGTACCTGACTTCTCACGCCGCCAGAGAGAGGCTGGTCGACCGGCTGCTAGATGACGACGAGGAGGGGGAGGACGCGGCGGGCCAGTACGAGGACTCGTCCTGTCGTCCCGTCAAGCTCCTCGACCTTCGTGTAGGGACCTGTCTCGATGCTATCCCCTATATTGCTCCCCCTTCATGCCTTTTCCACTTCATTTACTGCTGTTCTCTTTCCTCTTATTCCCCTCCTCCTATTCGTCACCC